TTACTATCGATACACCTAACCTTGGGTGTGATGGCGTCTCTCGCAGATTTTATCAATTTGTCAAGGATTTTCCTATGGCCCCAACGAAGATCCCCTTCGAATCCTCACTCAACAGATTAGAGTTTCAGATTTCTGCCGATGCATTGAAGCGTATTTCTCGTGATAAATTGGTTGCCAAAGATTGTCTAATGGTCCGAGAAGTCAAATCTCAATCTCTTCAATTTCGATTGAGATGTGTATCAGCTGTCGCAGATGCAAATGAAATCCCAGTTTCGAGATGGGTTGTTTCGGATACGGTGTGGCCCGAAATGATCTTCGTGGATATGAACAGCCATGAGTTAGAGGCTAGACGCAAATGGCACCATGGGAGAGATCTTCCAATCGATATCACGCCTTATGTAAATTCTGGAACCAACGAGATTACAATATCGATGCCCAAGTTACCTACAACAACTAAAGAAAAGGAATATTTTCTGGCTGTGGAAGAGATTGAGATATTACAGCACAATGAAATCATGGAAAGATGTAAAGAACAAAGCATTCCTGCAGCGACGGTCGTGGAAGACATTAAAAAGAAGCTTGCAGGCCCGACTGAGGATGACGATGAACTTTCGATAGTGGTCACTGATCTTTCCATTGGTCTTACTGATCCTTTTACCTCGAGAATCTTTGAAATTCCTGTTCGTGGTAAGAACTGTTTGCATCGGGAATGTTTTGATCTCGCAACTTTCCTTTCGACACGCCCAAGTAAGCCGAAACGACCAGATCAACCTTGCATGGTTGACGTTTGGAAGTGTCCGCTGTGCTCCGAGGATGCACGTCCACACAGCCTTCGGTACGATGAATTCCTAGCTTCTGTGAGAGACAAACTACAGGAACAAGATGAGCTTGACGTTAAAACCATCCTGGTTGCGGCGGATGGTACTTGGCGTCCAAAATTGGAGTCACAACCTTCACGTAAACGAAAGTCAACCACCGATGACGATGATGACGATTCGATAGATGAAAAGAGGCCAAGAAAGAAATCAACAAATGACGTTAAGCATGCCGTGGTAGAGATAATTGAATTGGACGATGATTAAACTTTTCTTTACTGGATTTCCGTTACGATCACACACGAATACACGAGCACAATGCGACGTGGAGTTTTGCAAAATTGACCAGCTATTTTTGGGTTAGATGGATTAGCTTCTTTGCATGGGTGCTTATTAGCGGCGTTGATTTTATGGAAAATGGATGGAGGACGGACACAACCAATCGTTTGGCGTACACTAATTTTTGCTACTTCTTCATGTTAGGGCGTTCTCAACTTATTTCGGAAATCTCACAACATGGCTTTGGCGTATGAATGCTCTGCTGAACGCGGCTGCGTAGGGTGTGGTTTCTTAGCATGCGAGAACATGGCATGGAAGGATAGCATATGGTAGGGCATGGCTTTTTTTTCTTTCATGGTGGAAAAATACCCTTAGATCATGATTATCATGAAATTTGAATGTATGATCAGGGATTGGTCTAATTGACAGCGACTGGTGATAGACTACTAGGTCTAGAATGGATGGAATGTGTACATTGTAATAATGAGCTAAGATAGTTGGCTGCAAGACTTGGTATGCATTTATGTGAAGTAATTACAATAAACGAGAGTTGAATTTGTGAGCATGAAACGTTTTTTCTGATTTGAACCGAATTCTTGGGTTGTGTCTTTGAGAGGGCGTTGATTTTGCAGTTTTGCAGTTTTGCTTATGAGAGGCTGGGGATGGGAGGTATATGAAGGTAGTAGGTGTTTGTTTGTTTCTTTTGCGTGGAACGTTGTTGGACTGGGTAGGATAGGATAGAGTATTAGAACTCTCAAGAGATTATGAAGAAAGTCCGTTCGTGTCTGATGAGGGAAGAAAGGGAGGAAGGAAGGAAAATCTCTCGACTCTCAAGTGATGGGTTGGGCAAGAGCAGAAGAGAAAATTGATGGAAGGGAAAGGGAAAGGAAAAGGAAAAGGGAAAGGGAAAGGGAGAGGGAGAGGGAGAGGGAGAGGGAAAGAGAAAGGAAATACTGGGAGATCATTAGGATTTTTGAGTCATTAGGATATTCCTTTTTTGTGTATATTGATCTTGATCTTGATATTGATATTCTTTCAGCACTCACTGCTATTGCTCAATATTATGATTGATTCATCGACGACCTCTACTATCAATACCAGTATCAGTATCAACATCAACACCGACAACCAGATTCTACACTGCACTATACGAAAATTAAAATTAAAATTAAAAATCCCACCTCACCATCTCGCATTCGCAACCCAGCATCCCTCGATTCCTCCAAGTCAACAATCAACAATCAACCACCACCACCTCCTCCTCCTCCTCCCACAACCATGCCCCCCCTCCCCACCCCACCCCTCAATCTCCGCCCCCCAAAACTCTTCCAAACCCTCCTCATCAGCATTCTCTACCTGCTCACCATGATCCTCACCCTCTTCAGCGTACTACTCATCGCTTCCATCTGGACATTCTTCATGGTAGATTATAGTTTTGAGAATCTTTCCGTGACGGTACTTTCCTGCATTGCGGAGGTTGTATTGGTTAGTTTTTTTTTGTTCATTTTTTGTTTATTTTTTGTTTATTTTTTGTTTATTTTTTGTTTATTTTTTGTTTTTTTTTTGTTTTTTTGTTCTTTCTCCTCACTTTTTTTCCTTTTGTCTCCCCTTTCATGTTGCTTGTTCTTTCAAAGGATGTGGCGAATCATCGAGATTGCAACACAATACTATTCGAGGAACTGCATTTCGAATCATAAAAATGCGGAAACATATCGTGTTGGGGTAGCTGGGGCTAATTTTTACGTGGTGTAGAGCTCGGCTGATAGGTTGTGCGAGTTTGTGGGGTTGGAGATGACGGATGAGGGGTTTTATTATTTTGGGGGGGAGGAAGAGGAGGAGGAGGAGGAATGGTGAGGTGAGGTGTAAGTGGGTGATGAGGGGTGGGTAGGGGTGTGATGAGCAGTTTGGCGTGAAGGAGAGTGTAGGTTGGATATGAGTGTGATGTGAAGAGGGGTGAAGAGGGGTATAGCCTGGATAGGAGCGCGTCAGCGAGATGTATACCAGCGAGATGTATATCAGCGAGAGTTATATTAACAAATTTGTAATACATCGGCGGGGAGGACCTGATGAGCATTGTTTGGAATGCTCTACCCATGGTTAGCATCAGGATTAACCACGGAAATCCAAGTTGGAAGCATTGATCAAGACCAAATTTCGATATTCCAATATTCTTGTGACATTTTCCGTTAGAGAAGAACAGGTATATTATGAAATATACACGCAAATAATGGGTACTTGCGTTTCTCACGGCTCGAGGTTTTCGGAAGCAGCATTTCAATGTATGGCAGCTGCTGGTCATGATTTGAAGTATGAGGACAAGTGGGAGTTTGATCAGGAAGACAATGAAAGTTATGATTTCAAGGCTCTGGATTCTTGACAGGAAGAGAAGGGTCAAATACTGTGTGGTAACGCATCGTATTCTTGCTTGTGGTGTGTAATGGTAGGGATCTCCAAGAGAATGGATATACCATCTAACGATCTTGACGGATCGCGTTCAATCACAATCTGAATAGTTTAAATTGAAAGCCAGAAAACAAAACATAACACAAAGTAAGCAAAGAGTCCCCCGGATCCCCCTCACTCGAGAAGAATTATACGGTATTGTGAAACCACAGAGACAGTTTGCATGCTTATAATTATTAAATGATCAACCCTAATAACCAAAAAGGAAAAGAAATCCTCAAGCCTGAAGCAGAAAATAGTGGGAGATGCGATGATAGCCGTCCTCTCCAACTAGACGTCGATCATGCGGAGGGTTAGTGCATTTAGCTTGTTCGCTAATGCGAATAAGCTTTTTCGAACAAACTTTCAATATAACTCAGTTGCCCATCCTCGTTTTTGGGATAGAGAATTGCCAGATATCCAAGGATTTGACTTTGAGATGCCTGGAAAAGTTAATACTGACATCATTCATAGAGGCACCTAGAAATGCTAAAAGCATCTCTCTCGGATAGAACAAACTCTGATTGACTGTTTTTTCCCTTAGTGCAGTCCGTCAACATGATTTCTTAAACAAGCCAATTTAAAGCAGTCGCCGGACGAGAAGAATGGAAAATCAATACAGACTGAAGTTTGAGGATGTGACTTTGCTTCGCTTGAATACAATTCGAAAGCCTCAAAAGATCTAGACTTGTTGTGAAGATTACACTCATCTCCCCCAGATATCATATATTTAGAGTCTGTGAAAGGCCTTAATTTTCTCTCAAGATCGTACATCTAAAAAAAATACTGGACTTTCCATAGCACATGTAACATTCCTCGCGCAAATAAGACTGACGTGAAGCATTAGTTGACGCCAAGAAGAGTCCAGGAACTCAATGACTTGCAGAATGGTCACTAAGTAGCGTAGAAATAAAACTATAATGATGCCACGATTTGAAGATCCAATTCCCTTCAGATATATAAGGTAAATTCCCGATCCTACGACAGCCCCTCCTTCAACACAACTTTCATATATACAAAACCCACAACACCTGTGTTATTGAACCTTTTTGCAAACGGAAAACATAAGAACAGAAAACATACACATTTGCCTACATTATGGGTACTCGATAATCTATCTACCAAGCATAATCGACAGTAACAAGTTCGACTTCGGATAGTAGCATCAATCAATCAATCAATCGAAAAACATTTTCAATTTCTAAGACACAAATACTATTCTCAAGGTGAAAGTGTTGAATATCAAATCGCGAAATCGCAATCAATCAACCAAGAGCGACTCGCAACTCTCAGCATCACATATGCATTCAGTCCTAAGCAACTTTCAACACCACTCAATCTTTCAATCGAACACACCCACCCAAAAAGCAACCTAAAAAGCAACCTCTGAAATCGCAAAATCGGCCAACCAACCAAAAAGCACCAATTCCCAAGCAACTTCCACACAACAACTTCGGGGTGAAAATGAAGGTTCTCGGTCTGCGAATTGGGGAACCAAAGCCCGAATATCTGGATGCTACTAAGCCAATAGATCACATACAGCAGCTCCCTGATGCCCCTAAGAGAAAGAGTCGATCAGTTGAGGGTGGCCTGAGCAGACAAGAGAGCGATGGAAGTTTGCCATCTGGTGCGAGCAGTCAGGAAAGTGCAGATAGCTCGACACCGATAGTCGCACGTACAGTAGAAGAGCTGAGGGATGTGATTGGAGGAACTGGTTCATCAGCTTCGGACTTAGAATGTGTGTTGTTAATCTTATAAGTTATCGGAGAGAACATGTGTACTGACTCCCCAATAGTAAAATCTAGAATTTTAGAGCTTGCAATCAGTGATATTGGCATGGGAAAGTATCAATGGTATTTGTTTGTACTATGTGGTATGGGATGGGCGGCGGATAAGTATATTGCTCCTCCCATTTCCTGAAAATGATAGAACCTGATAAAAATTAGTCTCTGGCTCCAGGGAGTAGCGTTAATCCTGCCTACCTCCTCTGTTGTTTATGGTGTATCTGATCAACATGTTCGCTACGCCACTCTTGTCTTGAATGTTGGACTGTCACTTGGCGCCTTTGGCTGGGGGTTTGGATCGGATAAAATAGGGAGAAGACTCGGTTTCAACTCAACATTAGTCATTGCTGGAATATTTGCCTTCTTGACAGGAATTGCACCAAATTTCATTGCCGAGGCAGCTTTTCTCGGAGTACTTGGACTTGGAGTAGGAGGCAGTCTACCGGTAGATGGAACTATGTTTGTACGTCGACACTCTCAACGTGAAGTCCCGCCTCAAACTCGAGACATTGCGTTTGTTTAATATTCCATAGTGCTGCTTGCTAATGCCTTAGTAGCTTGAATTTCTACCACACAAAGACCGTATTTACTTGACACTTCTGTCTGTATGGTGGCCGATTGGGCAGGTTGTGGCTTCACTTTTTGCATGGCTCTTCCTTGGATCAAGTTTTGAAGCAAAACGTGGTCTAAGACTTTTCTTATACACCATGGGTGCTATAACTTTGACAATGGCTATCTCTCGCTGGCTTTTTGATAGTATAGAGTCGCCGAAATTCCTCCTTGCTTCGAACAGGCAAGCAGAAGCTGTAAGATCTGTTCGTGCACTGGCGCATAAGAACGGCACCAAAACGTGGCTCACCGAAGAAATCCTCAACGAGATAGGAGGGACAGCAGAGGTAATCAATGTAGTGAATTCAAGCATCAAAGTGCGGGTACGTCAAGCGATTGCATCTTTCGGACCAGAGACAAAAAGGCAGATCTCTCCACTGTTTGGAAATGCTGAATTGGGTATAAATACTGTAAGTTGTGAATCGAGTATTTCGATTCTCCGATTTTAACTTCATTTAGGCTCTATTGTGGATCATTTGGCTTTGTATTGGAATAGGATATCCATTGTTCAATTCCTTCTTACCACAATATTTGAAAGGCGGCAATAAAACTGAGAGCGAATCCAACACTTATCGAAATTACTTGATAATAAGTACAGCCGCTGTCCCCGGGTCCCTTTTGGCTTGCTATATTGTCAATGTGGCCGGCCGTAAGAGACCAATGGCCTTTGCAACGATGATTGCCGGAGTATGTTTCTTCCTTTTCACCCTTCGTAACGATAGCAGCTTTCAACTCGGCTTTGGTTGCGCAGCATCATTTTTCCAGAACATCATGTTTGGAATTCTTTAGTGAGTCTATCAGCTTTATCAACGTGAAAGTTGTCATGCTGTACTAACAGCATGTAGTGCATATACTCCAGAAACCTTTCCCGGATCCAGTAGAGGAACTGGTTGTGGTATTGCCCACTCATTGAATAGACTTGGTGGAATAATTGCTCCTCTCATCGCAGCGAATGTTGGAGCATCTAATCCAAGCATCCCTATTTACGTCAGTGGAAGTTTGATCATTGTAGCATTTTTGGCCATGTGTTGCCTGAGAATAGAAACGCAGAATAGACAGTCGTTGTAAGCGGGTTGCACAGTATGGGGGACAGCCTCCGTATACCAAGCGTAGTACTTATTATGTAGAACGAATACAGTGTACGAAATAACTTCATGTCCCGCGAGTTGAATGTACCACACGGCGATAGAGAGCCTGGTTTTTAACCATGCAACTGCAGAAACCTGATGTTGAACATTCTGATCTCTATCAGTCTTTCCATTACCAGCTTCGATGGCCCATAATTCTTTCCCATCTCCAATCTCAGATTGAAACAAAATATTACGCGGCTTGGTAGATGATATTGGAGTCTGTGAAATTCTGCCCTGCCACTGCATTCATCAATATTATATCGATCATGACAATCCAATAACTTCTACGGGATGAAGTCTGATTAAAGTAAACAACAGGGATGGGAGGTGTGGGCTGACGGACAAGCTACAAGAACCCCCGGTGAGCTAAGCGTCATTCCTAAAACAGCATCATCTCGCATAGCGCACAGGGCTGTGCGAACTATCAAATAGCTTTCTTCAAGGAATAGATGGATCTTCTTCCATACATGCTCCGAACATAAATTGATTGACCATTAACGAGCGTATTCGGAGTTCTCGGGTCTCGGATTCAATTGTACGAAACTTCTACAAACACCAAAGAAATTCGGACGCGCAGTCTCAATCAAGGGCAACGAGGCTGAGCACTTGAAACCTGCCTAGCCACAAATCAACCAACAGTGCGAGTAGAACGAAGCTGTTGGAAAACTTTCAAAGGTTATTCATTTCCTATAATCGAAAACTGATCTTCAAACTGTTATTTCGCACCATATAATTTAGTGGCCAAAAAATGTCCGTTCGAATACAACTCGACAATCCTCATAGCTTTTACACGAATCTCGATTTCATAAGCGGCAGAGTTATTCTGAATCTTACAAGCGATGAAGCGGTTAGCAGAATAGTTGTGAAGGTTGAGGGGGAGAGCAAAACCCGTCTATCGAGACCACCAGAAATGTTATACACACAAGGTCCCAATAATCCTCCTGCACTTTATTCGAGGCGAGATAGACAGGAAATATGTCAGGAGAACCACAAGATTCTATACAAGGTTGCAGAAGTGTTTCCCAACAAAGCAATCATCAGTTCATATACGCTAAGAGCGGGGCAACATGAATACCCTTTCCGCATCAAGTTGCCCATTAACAATGGCTGCCATGATCCGGCCTCACAACAAATGGGTCCTGGCAGTGGGTTTGGAGGTCTTGGAATTCAGAGCATGCAGCAGATGCAGTATACACATGTTAAAAGGACATTACCTCCTTCACTTACTGGATTCCCGGGAGAAGCCGAGATAAGATACTATGTCAAAGTCACTGTGCAAAGACCCTCAATGTTTAAGGAGAATAGAAGATCAACAATTGGATTTAAATTTCTACCGATCGAAGCTCCAAGGCCTCCTGAAACCACAAATGAAGCGTTTGCAAAACGGCCGTTTATGTTCCAAAATGGGGGACCAACCTATGCGAAAAAGGGTCTATTCACGAAGAAACCTAAGCAGCTATCAAATACGTCCCCGCAAGGGGAAGTCGATGCTAGACTACCTAGTCCTCCTATCTTGACTTGCAATAAGCCTTTACCAATGAGGATTCTCCTTAGAAGAACTAACACAAGCCCTGAGCATGTATTTCTCATGTCTTTGCAAGTAAACCTTCTCGGTACCACTGAAGTAAAGGCTTCAGATGTTATTAGAGTTGAAACAAGTACTTGGGTTGTGATGAGTTTGACTGGACTATCCATTCCTATTGGATCACCGGACGATCCGATCGGTACTGAGACAGCCATAGATAGTAAATTATGGGATGCAATTCCTCTGCCAAATACCGTTGCCCCTTCCTTTGTCACTTGCAATCTTGCTCGTCGATATGAACTTGAGGCGAGGATTGGATTAGGTTATGGCTACCCAGGAGAGATTCAGGTATGTCTTATAATGAACTAATTCAGGAGTACGTGAATAAAAACTAACAAACTCAGTCGCAAACAATATCAATACCTCTTAGATTCAAAATTGAAATCTTCTCTGGCATTGAACCACCAGCGGCACTTTTAGACGCCATGACAGCTTATCCTCATATTCCAGTAAGACCTCCAGTCAACACAGCACCGCCACCTTTTGATCCGGCATTTCCACCTCAAGTTGGAGCGCCAGGGGCACCGGCTCTGGATGATGCTCCGCCTTCTTATGAAGATGCTTTGGCGGAAGATATTACCCAGGCGAATGGGACTTCGAGACCTGCGTATAGCGGCGTTACGAACGAGAATGCGCCTGGTATCGATGAGAAGGGGGGCTTAAGTAGTGGGCATCAAAAGGGCGAGGCTTCGCGTACAGGCTGATATTGTGGAGATGGTTAAACGCCCCTTCGTTCTCAGCGATGGCAAAAAGCAATTAATCAAGGCGTAGAGGAAGTTTTTGAATCGTTTAATATCTAATAAATTGCTAAAACAACGAGCTCTGGTTGCCCACTTACTAAATTGCGTCGATGTTCAGAAATCTGAGCTCCGGGCAAAGTTTAATAAAAGCCCAATGCTCAACGATATCAATCAACAATGCAGTTGTCACGTACTACTGTCATAGAATATTTATTATATATCGAGGGGGAGAGCATTGGGACGCATGTGAACATGCTTTATAATGGCAAGGAAGGAAAAGATACCTAGAGCATGGGAAATTCGCAACGCAGATAGACTGGTAAACCAGCACAGCTATAGAGTGGGGAGAAGCGGAAGAGAGAATGAAATGAGGTTTTAATTACCAATGATTCATGTTTGAAAACAAATTGCGACATTCTTTGGAAATATAAAGTACATGTGAAGTGAGTTTCAGTTTCCTAACTTGAGGGAATGTTTGACATAGACAACACTTGAACATTAAACAGTATTGAGTTTTGAAAGATGGCGTATCCGGTTATTTTCACCTATCTATATGAACCTCACTCATGATTCTTTCTTTGCATATCTATGTATACTTTCACACCTGCATTCTTCGATTGTTCATTCCGTCTGTCTCATCTCGTTCAATCCATCCCACTCATTTTCGCCCTCTTCTTCTCCAAGAATTTATACTTACAGGACTATCTCAACTTCACCCAGCTTCAAAACCACCAAGGGAGCAGTTGAGAAATAAGATGAAACTGTATTTAATACTGGCATGGAAAAATCCAATTCATCTACATTTATATCTATATTCAATCATTCCAATGATTCTCGCTTCGCGTAATACTGTGAAGTGGGTATATACAAACGACATTAAATTGTGAGTGCTTTGCGCGGTGGTATGCAATGGTATAGCATTTCTGAATAGTTATTGAGGTAACATTGATTATGTATATATGTGTTTGAGCTTTTAGTTTGCCGTCAAGATATTGAAAACGGAAAGTACAGTCAATTTAGATACGGATCACGTAAGCCTTCCTCCATGTGTCTCCTAGACATTCCATAACGCCAGGTTTGCCAACCTTCCCAAGAATCACTATCGCCGTCTGTAGTCATCTCGTGGGCCTCGGTCGCTTCTATACCTATCACGGTCATCATATCTGCCCCTGTCCCTCCGGTCCCTATCGTCATATCTACCTCCCCTATTGCGATCACCATCTCGTCGGTCGTCCCGAGAACTATAATCTCTCTTTTCCTCACGGGGGCTTTTGCTTCTTTCTCTCCTGCTCTCTTCGGGTTTTCCTTCCCTTTCATGTCTCTTCCTCAGCTCGTCCTCATCGATAACCATACCGTACCTGTCCCTTCTTGGTCCCGAGCTATATTCCGCATTTCTATATTGCCTCTTCTTCTCCAGTCCACTGACACCACCAAAGCCGCCACCTCCTTGTCTTCGCTTCGAATTTGTTGCCGTTCGCCAGGTATCAGATAGTTTTGATACACTTTGGGAAAAGTCGACATGGATTCTGTGATCGTCTATGAGAACGCCTTGCATTTTGAAGTACGCTTGTTCGCAAGATTTTTCGTCCTCATATTCGATGAAAGCATACTGTAAGCTATCGCCCGTTCGTTTATCTCTGATCACCTCGCAAGAGAGGATCTTGCCAAAGCGACTGAAAATAAGTTCGAGATCCTCATCTGAAAATAGAAAGTTAGCATTCATAACGGTAATCAATGCAAGTCAAAGGAATTACCTGTAGTAACTGGATTGAGCTTGCACACAAAAAGAACATTCTCCGGTGGTTTGACTTCCGCAAAAGGAAGATCTCCAACCATCTCCAAAGTCAAGGCTTGCGCTCGTGCTTCCCGCTCTCGTCGCCGTTTCTCAACAGCTTCAACATCTGTTTCTTCATTCAAATCATCGTCTTCCCCAATGCGAATCGTAGCTAATTGTGCTTTGGAAGGCACAGGACTTTCTGGTGGTTCGACAAGACCTGCTGGGTCATCATAAGGATCATCCAAGATGACCGTGTGCTTGATTCGTATGTCTACCAAAGGCCGTCCTTTATCATCGCAAAATGAATCGTTGATTTTCTCGAGCGCATCGAATCCTTCTACCACTTTGCCAAATATAGCTGCCTTGCCATCCAGATAATCTAGATCATCCCCCAAAGTGATTATGAATTGACTGCCTGCGAGACGTTCATCTGGATCTCTCGTTGACGGCGCGGTCGCCATACTAACAGTTCCCCTTTCCGCATGCTTTAATTTTGGGTGAAAATCTGCTTTGAATGTCTTTTTCGCTGGGCCTTCTAATAAACCCCATATCGAGCTTCCTCCGTCGCTATCTTTCGAATCAGGTCCTATCGGATCGCCAGTTTGGCACGAGAAATTCTTTTGTACGCCATAGATCGGAGAAAAATTGTAATATTTGATTTTGCAGAGCTTTAAGAAGCTAGATTACCGCGATCGTCTTAGTATCTATGTGTTCAGCTACTTCATAAGACATGGGGAGGCATTGGGATTCAAGACTTACTTCTCACAAAGTTTAGGTGAATAATCGACCAATAGGTCAATAACTATATCACCAGCAGAGGTCTCAAGAAGGACACTCATGATTGTTGAATAATACCGATGCCGGGCTGTGAAGCTGTGATGCAAGTGAGTTGATCATCGCACAAGCGCGGAACCGCGGCTAAAATACAAGATCGTCACTTTGCGAAACTAAAAGCGTAAATCACCAATCACAGCAGTATGGCGGTCTAGCTTCTTTATTTTCATATACATATAAAGTCCTCTTCAAGTGATCGACTGAGCTCCTGTATACTCGATATTATATTTGTTAACTTCATCATTTATACCTGTTTTCTTTACCCTCGACAGTCATGGTCTCAAATATTGTGTTGAGTCTAGGAAGGAAGATTCCTCCATTCATATCCAGCATTACATAAATCACTTGAACTCCAGCTAATCAAAGTAGGGTTCAATTGATTTAATTGAACCAATGCCCGAGAAAACATCTGAGCAAGTGAGATGTACGTCCTCCAACTCGCTCTTCATCTGATGAAGAAAACAGAAACAACGGAGACACGCTTGCCTCACATATCACGTGCCACCGCCGAATATTCATCCAATCTTCGCGCAACCTTGAAGATAGTAGGTGTCAATTGTTGGTCAACATGCTGTCGCTAAGAGATTTGTTCTTCCTATTGGACTCGCAAATTTCGTATCCGAAAGGGCTGCAGACAAAGGGGCGGGTAGATGAAAATAAACCCCCCGAGGAGCCGTTGATAGGTCTCCATGTTGAGGACATCTATATCTCGATCGCTTCCTGCAGCTCCCACCGCACGGCTGCACCGTAACTTCGGTACTATAGATTACATTTCTTAATGCGATCTGTGCAAACATCATTCCCTTTGGCTTCCATCGAGGCAGCGCAACGTCTTGGCCTTCATCTTCGAGGAAAGTGGCTATTACTGTCTGCTCAAGATTTTCAGCCTGCATTGGGAGGCGTAACATATCACCACATTTTATTTGAAGAAACATCCATTACCAGGTCATTGGACTTCAGTGGTTCTCATTGGCTCTCGTCAGCTATGCGTAACGGATACGCGCATAATGCACAGGTATTGGCAGAGCACGCGAAGCAGCCACCCGTTATGATCTATCAATAACTGCCCATAATTCTCATAATGTTGCATGGTATGCACGCCCATGATTTGGCCCACCTCGGGGAAGTATTTTTTCCCGCCGCGTCTTCTTATAAATGATTTCAATGTCACGCATTTATAGAATCAACAAAGAGTAAGCCGAAATCTGATTCCCACGCCAGGGCTTTGATGGTCTGGTCCTCACGAGTTTACAGGTCGGCCGGACTGTATCTTATCAGAATAGATCTAACACCAAAAGCCCGGGGGATACTCAATAGTCAATAGTTTGGTGACACTTTTAACAACTGCTAGCTATCTCGATACGTAGCCCTTCATCTCCATATTATACGCATTCTACGGGAAGACGATCTTCTCTAAGATCTTGCTTTGAGATGATACAGAATGGAAGCCGGTAGTCATCGGCATCTCGATGATTGGCTTTTATTCTCTCGGTTTTTGAAGTGACTAACTGGTACGGCTCTACTTCTATTACACCACTTCGCACATCATCATCGGTACAACGAAGACTTCACTTGCTTTCTACTCGAATTGGCGCAGAAGAAATTGTGCGAAGCGACAGAGTCACTCTTAAGCGTCTGAGCCCAAAGCTCTTCATCTGTGCTATTCCATCTGTAATACCAGAATTTACATTGATGCAATTAAACTGATGTTCGCACCAGTCACGTTGCATTGCCTGAGCATCGCCTTGTTAAGAGAAAAAACTCAGATACCCTGCCAGCCGTTTTGAATTGGTTTCCAAAGAGAAATGGAACATACTGCAGAAAGAAGTTATACAACATTGCTTGGTTGTGGCCAGAATTCGGCTAGAAGCAAACAAACTAGGAGTGAAAATTCTTTAAGCTGGGTTTGTTTGCTCCAATTCCATTGGAAGGAGCAAAATTTGATTGAATGTGATTGAATAATCATGTAAATCAGAGCTAAACTCTGAAAGGATTTGAGGTTCTTGTCTGATAGTGGCGCCTTCAGTCAAACAGTGCTGGAATAGTGCTAGACCTCCAAGGTTTTGACATGGACTTGATTAGACCTTGCTCTCCTGCATCAAAATATGTGTTACGTACCCCGTATTGAAAATTTGGGTGCGTATTGACTCTTTTACCTGTAACGAATTGAGGAGCGAAGTAGCGCAAGATTTGAGCAGCAGAGTATGACAAGCACCAGCGGTGATACGTCGTTTGCAGGTTCATAATTGTTCCATAATTCGTATCTTTATTCAATTGTTTGCTGAATTCATTGCAATGCTACCAGGCGCAATTGTCGTTATCTGTCATTCACAATGATATGTAGCTCTGTCTAGAAGGAGTAAAGTTACTCCTAGCCTGGTAGGTGTCAAAAAAACATATATGGGGGCCAATACGGAAAGCTACATGAAATTCCAAATTTATATGCTACCTAAATAGGAGGTGAGATGAGCTTACTGAGGCTCATGGGTTCTTTGTTCTACGGTGAAGTTGTTTCAGTTATCGAGACAGTCTCATCATAAATTGAATATTTGCATCAAACACTGTAAGCTCTGAGGAATTTTAACCCTGAAAGCTAACCAGGAAGCTGGATTTTATACCCCAGAGTTTATGCTGTTTGCTTAAGTGCCGGAAGTATTTGTCGATCTTCCAAATTACATAGCAAATGCATGGGCCCGCAAAGAGGCCACAAAGCTAAATCATTTATTCTGTTTATTTTAATCATATCTCAAGTTTAGCAGTACTAGTATGCAGGAAATCTTTCATAAAGACAAACATCACAAATTCTGTTGTACCCATTATAATATGCTTGCTTTCGCCTGACAGCCCTAGCATTTGATAAACCCCAGGTCCTTGATTCATCTCGGATCCTATTGAAGCTTGACACATTTGTTTTTGTACCCAAGTTGAACCCAACTGCTTTCAAACTCTTAAATCTTCCCAAGATCTTTTGAAGGTAAGCCAAGCAGTGCACCGATGAAGGTCTAAATACCATCCGATCTATTACTTATCGAATTCAGATGGTTACTCGAGGATACTACTCAGAGGAGGAGCCTACCTTCCGTAGATGCGGTCCGCGCGGTCAAAGCTATCCACTGGCTCAAGAGCGCTCCGAGCACTCATATCCATCTCGGACGTATAGCGATGGACGAAGCAATGATCGTGGACCAGAAAACACCGAACCGGGACATCATCAAATGAGGCGCAGAATTCAGGTAGCAGTATGCCACTCAAACTTCCGTTTACCGCACTATAAAATTTCCGCTGCTTTGAATGCATTTACTGACCAAACTTTCTCGTAGTGTCAAAGATGTCGAAAGCGCAAGATTCGGTGCAGCGGCGAAGACAATGGCAGGCCATGTTACCACTGCAAACAGTCCTCTTCAGAACCATGCGAGTTCTTGAGAGTACGTCCGACCGGCCCATTGTTCATAACGATAAATACTAACTCGAGTAATTTAGGTGACGGCTATGCGACTAGAACAAGCAAAGGATCTTCCGGCTGATTGCTTTGATGATAGCTTACGCCCAATGTACCGAATGCCTTCAAACGCCCCGTACAACAATAATTACTATCAGACGTTACAGACCCTGAACTTGAGTCCTGATGGTATTAATTATCGACCAAGTTATTCCAATTATGGGTTCCAAGGACCGAAATTTCTCAATTCCTATGATAACTTCACCGAAGAATCTGCCGAATTCAATCTTTCAAGTTCAACCCCGTATCAAGTGGCAGCACAAGATTCCGTTTCTGTGTCTAACTATCCAGTACAGAGCAATGGGCGCACACGTGTAAACCCTCAGGCGCCAATGTATATGGATTCTGAAGCAGCGGCGAATTATAATTCGGCATACCAAAGTTATAGCGCGCGCCCAATGGTTGACTCGGAATCAAAGAATTTTTGTGTCCCAAACAACACATGTATCCCATCTTATGGAACTGCAAGTGCAGCCGCCACATCTTCGCAAGCTGCCCTCAATGTTGCCACCACCACCGAGAGGCAACTCCCATACCCAAACAGACAATACGGGTCCACAAATGACAGTGCTTTTAATTCACAGAACTCACTTCAGCCGTATGGATTCATGAACTCAAACATGAACAGCTCTGCAAAAATCAACCCTTCGATTCAAATGCCCCTGACGAATCCGTATATGAGTGTTTCTACCAGCAGCCCTCACGAAATCACCACAGCCGCTGCTACTGCTGCTTACCAATCGGGGCAACAATCTTCGTTATCACAGCAAGATTCGGAAATGTATGATGCATCAACTATTAGTGGCAATTTGTATTACGCTCAGACCAATGAGTCTACCACGGATATAAGCCACTATGGAACAAGCAGTGGAAGCGAGCCCAGCAAAAGTCGTCAAAATAGTCAGACTAACACCACTGATAATACATGGCCGGCTAATAACCGAAAGTCTAGCGGCAGCGGAAGTAGTCTATTAGCAAACGGACAAACGTATGTTCCACACACATCCAGCCATTATCCAACCCCAAATCTACCCACTCAAATGCAGAATCATGGGCTCTTGCAACTTCCTCCTCAAATGCCCCCAGTCTCACATGATGGCCTTCCAGCGCCGTCGAGAGAGTATGTCTCAAGTCTTTCATCGAGATAGTTTGGGTTTTTGCTCGACGCTCGGATCCGTGGAATAATCATCTGTTCAAAGCACAGGCATAATATCACCTACTTTGGTTAAGGGGACGGTATTCAACCTCGAAGACATTAAAATCGCCGACATGGGGCATGACATCTCAACTAGTTTGTTTCCTTTCGTTTATTTTATCTCATTTTCGGTTTTTTTTTTTGTTAAATTCGTGCGAGTCTTTATTCATTGGTCACATTTGTTTGGTATGGACATGGCGAAATGGGGGAAAGACAAAAGATGCTGTTAAAAAGGGGGATAGGGTTTGAATCGGTGGGAGGCGGAAGAAGACGGGTGTTCTTATCGACTGTTCATTGTGTGCATTGTGTTCATATATTCCAAGATCGCTCACTAGGAGCGGCTTGGTTCAATTGCGTTGATTCTTTTTGCTTTCAGGGTTCTTTCTCGAGTCAGTCACAGATATCCACCGAATATGGGGTTTTGTGGTGAGATAAGAGTTGTATTGGACAAGGAGGAAAGATTACGATGGCATGGGGGAATTCGGTTAAGGAAAGTAATACGTGTCGGACGAAAAGGGGAACAAATCGCGGTCAACAAGTGCTCAGTGTTACAGGCTAAAGGATCATGGGGAAAATGGATAAGAAATGGCGAATAAGTGGTAAATGGGGGCAATAGATGGGTATTCGAGTACTATCGCTGGTACGGTTGGGGGTTGAATCGAATGGGCTCGCGCGTACATTGAGCTGGAAACGGAGTGCACATTCTTTTAAGCTTGGGGCAAGTGTATTGGGGATCTCTCGGACGGAGGAGTATTTACTTCGAAGGAGAAGCGAAGAACTGGAGATTAGTAGGCAGTGAAAATATGTGTGGCTATATTGTGTTTATTTTGTCATTATTTAAAAACATTTGTTTGGTTCTGATTCTTAATTCGAGGCGAATGGGCAAGACAAGACAAGAAGACGCAAAACGTGAGCAAAAACCGGGGAGAAGTAGTTTGTCGATATTTCCCTTTTATTTCCATTCTATCCTATGTTTTTCTTTTGATCTACAAATACGTTCACGGAGACAACAAAATCTGGTGAAAGGCTTATGGCAGATGGAAGAGAAAATATGGGCATCGCCTTTAGCTCGAGCTCACTTGCAAATGCTGTTTGGCTATCAGAAGTTTTGGGTTATTGTGGTGTGGTTGATGGTGACCAGAGTGTTTGTCGTACGATACTGGTATCAATACGTTCAATGTTCAAGTTTTCCAAGTACTACTTGATTGCTAACGCGCAATATATGCGCTTCTTTAGGTGTTGAATACACCATACAGTACTGGGTACTATCGGATAGTCACAGCAACAAGCTGATAGCAGTCAGACTTAATAATTATAATCGTCATTCTAATATCAAATCTCCTTCCAACTTTGGCCAAAATTTCGACCAGATGAGACCAATCTTCGACCAGTCTGGTCTAATAAGCATTGACCAACTTGACCAATTTGAACATATTTCTGACTGTGGTTCCTGGTCACAATCACCAATATCAACCCAAAATATTTTCCCTGCTTATGCCACGATGCAGAGAGCCTTCCCAAGTGCCAATGTAGGGAGAAACGAGACGATCCTAAGCTCTTAGCGATGGTACCCATACCAGACTTTTACATTTTTCGTTTTGATAGAGCAAAAGCAAGATTTCCGGGTGCAACTCACATATCCTTCCTGAACCAATCACAGATGAACTGACCTTGTCACGGCATTGGGAATCTCAAAGATGCAATCTACGAGACGTAAGCGACCTCGTGCCACAAAAAATGCATTTAAGTAGTAGTTTATGTTACACAAAAGGTATCACAAATGTTACACGGCAGGAAACAGACCCCACCCACCCTAACAATTTGGGGTACGGTGAAGAATAAAGCGTTGTGCCTGGCTCCTTTACATCTCTCTGTTTCTGGGGGAGAAATCAGGGTCGTCGTAAGGAAAGCTGAACGTTGAAGACCGGATGAGCACTGCATCTACTTGTACAATTGATGTCTCATTTTTGGGGTTTTTCAGTACTAGCGAAGCACAGCAGATACTTAGGATGAACTTCATGTCATTGTACAGTACATGGTGTCAACATGGTGATGGTTTCGCCTCGCGCAGTGGCAAATCTCTCAATCACATTCACTGTTATCCATTGTCTAAATCAATCACAATCGATATATTGCTGAAGGTCGATATGAGATAGTGCCATACTTGATGTTTGGATGCGATTCGATTATCAATAGGAAAGTGATATGACATCTCAGGCTTCAACCTTAGATTTCTACTGTCCAACTTACGCTCAAGTGCTATCCTACATCTGTGACTTGTCTGGACCTCGTGGTAATTGAGGCCAGGCTTCCGAAATCTCCTCCCCGATGAGCAATTCGGGAAGCCCACGAGCCGAGCCTTAAGTCCATGAGATAGGATCTTTTGCCGCCTTGGATCCAGAACGTTCTTTTTGTGCTCTTTCGTATTGATAATCTCATTCTTTCCTTGTCACATAAGTCAATTGTGTTCGCCCAGCGTGTGAGATATGCCATTATCTCATCTCCAGCAAGTATGTGAAACGCAAAGAACCACAAGCTAGCTGAAGGTATCAGTGCTTGTATAACAGAGATGTCCGTCATCTCCACAATCAATGCAGATGAACATGTACAGAAACCGAGATTCAAACAGCGATTGAAGAAGGTACGGACCGAAACGAAGCACGGAACGACACCTACCTAACATAGTTTTTCTCGCAGGGCGCAATGTGGTTTGTAACATCAAAAGAGGGGAAATTGGGGCACTTCAGCTTGAAATGTCAATATAAAGTTTGTAGCGGCGCACGAGGCAAACTTTGTTGACAGAAGGTAAATTGCATAAAATGACATGTCAAAAAGCGCTTGCAGAAACGGTCAAAGGCATCTTTGCAGATGATTATTTGTGTCCATGATGCAATGGTAACATGAAAGATGGGAGAGAGCCATGTAAGAAGAAGTAAAATTTGAGGAATAGCAACCTCCAGGTTGCAAACGCATATTTCCATTTTTATATCACCCATGACCATGCTGCACATAAACCAGATTTCGTAATGAACGAGCAAAACACCGTGATTGAAGTTTGTAGTGTGGACCTAATAGAGACCGATTAGAGGTTTCATGCCATCATGCCTCTATTTTCGTTCCCTAATTACACCAAAGCATGATACGATGGAGGATCGATGCAGATGCGTACAAAGCACATAGCCAATCCCCAGGTCCAACAACACCAACCATTTCCCACCCCAAGATGAAGCGAGTGCTCTACTCCTTCTTCTTCTTGGCACCCTTGACCTTCGCAGTACCTCTGAGTGTCTTTTGTCTGTTCTTGCGTTGCTTGCCTAAATTCCAGCACATGTCAGTATCAATTCGTAGGTAAAATCCACTTCCACCCAAGCGATTTCGCAAACCAATACAAGGACTGTAACATACGTTGTTGTCTGCTGGCCTTCTCGATCTTGGTAGCAAATCCAACACGGACTAATCTGTAGTGGGGTTCGAATTTCTTCATTGCCTCTGGGGAGTCGTAGACGAGGGCGAAACCGGTTGTCTTTCCACCACCGAATTGGGTACGGAGACCGAAAACGTTGACTTGGTCTTGGCTAGCCTTGTAGAGTTCGGCGAGTTTGCCTCTGAGCTCATCCTTGGAGATGTTGGCACGGTTTGGGTGGAGGATGTCACTATATTTAAAAAAAAAATCCATAATCAGCCTTCCAATTCATAGATATCCGCATTCCTCATTGTACTCCAAAGGCACTTGAATAGTGTTCCTTCGATACTGCAATTGTTCGAAATAGGTGGCGGATTCGATAAGAATGATGTTGACTTACACGACCATTTGCTTTCGGCCGAGGAGAGGGTTGCGAATGAATTTGCGGGTTCGCAGCGTAACTGGGGCGTTATTGTCGGCCATTTTTGCGATTATCTAAGTCGATCAGCCTGTCTGCGATGTTTCGAGACAGTTGTCGTGGTATAGATTGTCGATGGATGTCGCTGTCGTAGGAGGATTGCAAAAAAGTTCGAGTGGCTCTCAGATTCGGTAAGTCAAATTGCGCTAAGACTAGCCAAATTGATTAGTAAGCGGTGAAAATGTGCGAAGCAGTGGATCCGAAAGGTCAGAAACCCTAGGTTGCTGCCTTAATATTATGGCGGTTTAGTTTACTCCGACTGTCCTTGAGCACCTCAAGATCATTCAATATCTAAGATTTATTCATCCTCAAATGATCCAGTGATTGTCTTTGACTACAGTATTTCATTAAGTTGTGAAATATTCCGAAAAATTTCGTCTTGAAATTAAAGCCGAATTCAAGTTCAAAGCCATATTCAAAGAGACAGAAACCAGAAATGCCTATTCTCTTCAAGGACCATCAATTGGACAGGTTTTGTCGTCAATATCTTCAACTTTTACCAAATCTCGAATACCCAGATGAAGAACATCTTCGAGATGATGCCTTCCAGGAAGCTATCTACTCAAGACTTTTTGAGGAAAATGTCTTGGAGTACCCTCCACCTCAGAGATATCAATTGAAAACTCTGAAAGAACTCACTAAAAGAATCGAGAACAGTATTCACGATTGGGAAGAACAGGTAGGTATGCACAAGATGCAATTTCTTTGGTTTTCTTTTTTTTTTTCTTCCACAAATATCTAGTAGGGTGTATCAACGAGGATACTTGCCATAAATCTCTCTAAGCTCTTGTCGTTTCTTTCCCCCAATTTTCTGACAATGTCTTTCTTTTCTCCAGGGAATATCAGATAATCTCATGAGCCAACTTTCCATTCTCCTCTCTACTCCTATTCCTTCAGAAGCTACAGCTGCTCAACAACAATCTTATGTGACTTATACTCTCTCCTCTCTCCCTCCTATTCCTTCTACCTCTACCTCACTAGCTTCGCAAACTCCAACAATAACCATCCTCGAATCCGCATCACTTTTATCTGGTTCTGGAACCACAGGCCTTCGGACATGGGAAGCCGCTCTTCACCTCTCAACTTATATCTCTCTTAATCCTCATCTTATCTCCAACAAAACGATATTGGAGCTTGGCTGTGGCACCGGTTTTATATCAATCCTGTGCGCCAAGTTTCTTTCCGCAAAGCACGTTCTGGCTACCGATGGAAGCCCTGAAACATTGACTCTGATGAACACAAGCCTGTTTCTCAATAATCTAACAGAGGCTATTACTCCTACGCCGTCTCAAAATACGACCTCCAAAACAAGCATATGCGAACTTACCTGGGGTCACATGCTTCCAACTGGGGAGTTTGAAACATTTCCTGAGTTCCTATCATCTAAATGCCCACCATCTAACCCACCGCCCACTGCCGGATCAAACGAGACTCCATTGGATCTAATTCTTGCTGCAGATGTGATTTACTCCCCCGCTGTAATCCCTTCTTTGATTGCAACACTTGAAGACCTCTTTGATCTGTACCCACAGGTAGAAGTGTTAATCTCAAGTACGGTACGTAACGCCGAAACGTATGCAATATTTGTAGAGATGTGTAAAAAGAAACAGTGGCAAATGGGGAGGGTAGGGTTTGAAGTGGCGGAAAGAAGTGAACAGGAAGGGCCGTGGTATGGAGAGTTGGGGGAGGGAATTGAGATTCTTTGGATTCGGAAAACTTAATGCGGAAAGTGAAAAAGAGGAAATGCGATACGACTAGACAACTGCGGCATAATTTTGCAAATAGAAAACTTAGTCATTACAAGCAGAGCTATTCGTTTCCCTCCGAACATGTCTCTTGAATGATAGCTTGAGATGGACTTTTGATCGAAGGGAAAGAGTGTGGCTCGCTGTATATGAGCGGTTTTATTCCAAGTCAATTTCATTAACTTCCGCGATAGTCAACTTGTTAGGTTTTTTAGACATTCATCAACAAAAGTCCTGATTTTTGGAAATGTCCGACTTAGTTTGATAGTGTTCACTAAAGCGATTTATGATCATGCTGACTAACAAGCAAAGACAAAAGAACCTGAGAACATTTGAAATTTTCTTTCCGGATTGTGGTTGTCGGTGTAGGACTTTTATCTTGGATGCATATCACAGATGAGCAATTGGCACACACGGCGATGCAAGTCGTAAGCTTGCAGGCAAGATAAACACTGGATGGTCCTTAAAGGATTGATTCAAATGAAGTCGATTGATGTTATAAGTACAGTGCAGGCTCCTGAGTGCAGGAGACTGATATTGTTGTATAAGATCTAAGGCTGTATGGGTTGATCATTTCTCTCATTTCTGAGATCCATTAATACCGCACTCATGTCTTCTTCCTCGATGGGATACCTTCGCAGTCTTCCCTTTATCTCCACGATTCCCTCCTCGAACTATTAGCATGCATGGCGAATCATCGCCGTGGCATTAGTCAGGCTGCTCCTGCACTCTCACGAGTATTGGGGTCTTCATAGGTAGTCCATACGGCCAACTACATACTTCCCACTTTGGCTTTTCACGTCCGTGGCCACAAATATGGGAGAAGCATGCTTCATTCCATCGGAACTCTTGCTGATGAAAAATATCGGCGATTCGGGGCAGCTCCTCACGCTTTTGACAGCTCAGCTAATTTGGCTCAGTAGAATTCATCCAAGTTTGCCCTAATAACCTTTTGTGACTGTAAGATTTGTTTCTTTCATGAATCGTTGTGCCCAATTCCAATGTTGGGACCACTTTCTAGCCTTTCGCCGAGCTCCATGATTGTCGCCTCATAGACTCTGGCAATGTCCATGGCAAGCTCATCATTGTCATACTCCGAGTCGTCCTCCTCATCCAGATTCATTCCGTCGGCTCTGTTGTCACCATCATCGTCGGCGCCGCTCTCAGGTTCGGGCTCTGGTTCAACTTCCTTACTCATGACGTCTACAATCATCACTCTGGTGTCTTCGACTATACTTCTGCATCTAACCATATCAGTCTGGCTCATTCCCGCTCTCCTGCCCGCTAGAAAACCTGGTAAGGTCTCTCCAGTAATCGAGTCTTCTCCTTTCAGTAAGCTAGCGAATGCATGATCCAGCTTTCTCAGAACAGCAAAAGTTGCAACCGGTGCTGGTGGGAACTTGGTTGGATATGTAGTCATTACCAGAGCCACATTTAGCAAGTACGGAATCTGTAAATTCGCTATTCCAGTCAGTCAGTCTAAGATTCCTAGAATAATACATAAGTGAAGGTACGTACGTGTACTTGAGAGCCACAACACATCTATTATCTCGGAAAGGTCCTTAGCTACCTCCTTCATACTTACATAGCCGACTACCGAATCTCCTTCTTCATGTTCCTCGAATTTTTTAGTGTATCGCCTCGAGACGTGTAGTAGTCTGTTTTCAACATAGCGCCTTGCAGCTTGTTCTTTCCCTGATCCAGCACGAAGAGGTTTCGCACGTGGCTGTGGTAAATTGGAAGAGGTGGAGCTGACCGAAGTAGTGCTTGGGGAGGGGGAGGGAAGAGCATCTGGAAGGAACCCTCCTGATTCTGAAAGATCCATTTCTATTAAACTTATTTGGCGAATCCAAATTTCTTGAACGAGTCAGGTATAGTAAATGGTAATTGTATTAATGTATGGCCAATCCAGGAATCTCGAATCAAAGCTGAGTATTCTTCAGTGGTAAGAATTTAAGATTGAAGATGAAATTATTCAACACCCGTATTCGTCCTGACTTGGAAGAAATGTTCCCCACGGTGAACAATGTCAAAATGCAACAAAGGTCACTATAGAATCAGTACCAAGGTCGAAAGGATGACGTGAAGTCCGGTCAGCCTTATGGAGAAAGCAATGACTAAGCAAGGCCTAGGTTAAGCTCAAGGAGCTCCAAAGTTATAATTTCTCAAATAAACAAACAAACCATAAATTTCATTGCCAATTTCACAATAACTCCATTGAATCTACGCCCAATCCTTCGAGAAGTGTATCTTATCTTACACACGCCTGCGATCCTTACCGTATCACAATCGCATTGGCAAACACCTACAAACGTGTAGCCTCGAGTTGAGCTCACGCGTTACAATGTCAAGTATTGATGATTTGTTCAAGGTGCGCATATATTGTTCTAGGCTCATGTTTTCCCATCTAACATTCTGTAGAAGCCAGCTTTACCCAGCCATAAGCGCAAATTAGAACCCACTCGAGATCCTAGTTAGCAACCCTCCTCTTTCGTACCCCAACTCATTGCTAAGCAATCCATTAGATGAAATCTACAAATCCGCGAAGTTATCCGCGAACGGCCATGCGAAAAGCAATGGCAAGCAACCAGCAGTAGAAGAGGATGATGACATAGAAGCTGGACCTTCCGCTCCTCCTGGTGACGACGAAGAAGACTATGGTCCAGATATTCCGGACGATGAAGAGGGTCGATTTTTCGGTGGTGGTATTACGAAAGATGAATCTGAAATATTAGATTATATGGATGGACAAGAAAGCGCAGAGATTGTTCCTGAGAAAATCGATTCGGCATGGCTACGGAAGATGGCCCTGAACTTTGAGAAGAAGATCACGAAGAACGCGGAATTGAGAGCTAAATTTGAAAGCGATCCGCAGAAGTTTATGGGAAGTGAAGCGGACCTGGATGCAGACATCAAAGCTCTAAGTATTCTATCAGAACACCCTGAATTATATGGAGAATTTGCGAAGCTAGGTTGCGTTGGAAGCTTGGTTGGGTTACTGGCGCATGAAAATACAGATATTGCGATTGATGCCGTGGAGATTATCAGCGAACTGACGGACGAAGACGTGGAGGCCGAACAAGAACAATGGAATCAAATTGTGGATGCTATGATCGAGGCAGATCTGTTAGACCTGTTGGTTTCGAATTTTGCGAGGTTCAATGAAAACAATGAGTCGGACAGGAGTGGTGTATACCATGCATTGTCCGTGTTGGAAAATTTGGCATCGAGAATAACGCTTGCGGAAAAGATTGGCCAGGAAACAAACATACTGAATTGGTTGCTGAATCGAATACCGAAAAAAGAGTCGCCAGTGAGCCAGAATAAACAATACTCGGCAGAAGTCATGGCAATTCTCCTTCAATCATCTTCACTGAATCGACGGAAGCTTTGCGAACTAGACGGTGTCGATCTCCTGCTTCAAATATTGGCAGCCTACAGAAAACGCGATCCTATTAAAGGAACAGAGGAAGAAGAATTCGTGGAAAATGTGTTCGACTCCTTAACCTGCTGTGTTGATGAACCAGAAGGAAAACAAAAATTTGTTGAAGCAGAAGGTGTCGAGCTCTGTTTAATTATGGTCAAAGAGGGCAAAATGAGTAAATCACGCGCACTTAGACTATTAGACCATGCATTGGGAGGACAATCTGGCGCAGAAGTTTGTGAAAAGCTGGTAGAGGCGGCGGGTCTCAAGGTAGTATTCGGAATGTTCATGAAGAAAATCGACGGTCAAACCATCGAACATCTACTAGGGATATTCTCAAGTCTACTGCGTCTACTGCCTGCCAATCAAGCCGGTCGAATTCGTACGCTTGCCAAATTTGTAGAGAAAGACTATGAAAAGATAGGCAAGCTTGTGAAACTTCGTCGAGACTATGCAGCACGGGTATCAGCCGTAGATACAGAAATCCGTAAAGAACAAACAAGGCTTAGCGCAGAAGAAAGAGAAGAGATGGCGGATGAATGGTTGTCGAGGAGGATGGACGCGGGATTGTTTTGCTTGCAGACTGTTGATGTTATTTTGGCATGGTTAGTGGCGGAGGATGCAGGGGCAGAAAAGAAGATTCGGGAATTGTTGGCGGAGAGGGATGAAGGGTTGAATTTATTAAAGGAGACGATACAAGAGCAATTGGATACCCTGATAGGAGGAGATGAGGAGGGAGATGGTGAGGAGAAATTGATGAAGGATATGCTGGGAACGTTGGTGGAATTTTTGACTTGATGGAAATTGACATGTCTTCTCCAATGTAGAAATTGGAAGGGAGATTCCAAAACTGTAGAAGACCAAACACTCAATTGTACCAAAAACGCAAAATTTAATAGATTGAAACATTCACAATCCAGCTATTCTTTTCATCATATTTCAGACATTCGCTCTCGTGCCCCCTATAAGTCGGCTTTCGAGATGGAGCTTAGCTAAAGATATTGAGATTTGATATTTGACATTTGACATTTTCATAGTTCTGAAACTGCTCAATTTCCATATTCTACGGCAAAATCTATAGAACTAACAGAGATCCAACATGCAATTTTATATATACATATTGAGTTTTTCTACCCTATAATATCTACACATACTGTGCTAGGTAACAGAAGATAGGTTGATTATGCGGGTGGATAATGAATAAGTGGTGTTTTCTAGAAGGAGATGATTATTTTACACTCCACTTAATTACTAATGTACAGGAAAGCCCCCCCTTCAGTCCCCACCTTCCTTCTGTAGATACACTAGTTTAGACTGTCCAGCATAACTCTCCACACCTGATATTTTCTTCTGTAAATAATCATACAGCACACGCTCTTCCATCAAAAGAGACCAACATCTCTCTTCGGCCTGATAGTTCAGTGGTAGAATTCTTGCTTTGGGTTATCCAATCTAAATTGTAAGAGGTCTCCGGTTCGATCCCGGATTAGGCCCGTGGCATCATCGATGTATTCTTTTGTCTTTTTGCCCTCTTTTGTTCTCTTCTACCTTC